CCACCCCCGGAACCTCACATTTGATCGTTTTTTCTCCTCACAGACTCGTCTCTGTTGTGAATATGTGGTTCTATCTAGGCCTATCCTCTTAGTTAGTTAGAGGTGTCCACGAAAATATCATACTAATTTAAGTTTATGAATTAAACACAACGCAACGATACAAGTATAATTAGGAACCGGACGAGTGTTGAGCAGGTAATCAAAGGTCCGTCGTCCCCGATAACTTTAAGACTGTAACCGTCACAATTAAAGGGTCTGTACAAGTTGTGCTAAAGTTGGCTCGAATATTTACGCTACTTAGTTGGACATAAGCAGGTCGATATCTCTGTACTATGGTCGGAGCTACACCCTCGACAGGTACACACAGCCACGACTACTGCGGGATGAAAGGAAGTGCAATAGAGGAGGAGTCGAGAGCGAGCTAAGGCCCGGGCCCCCCCCCTTTTTTTTTTGTACGGTGGACAAGACGTCGCTTCAAAGAGAGTCCTCCAAACATTCGGTGTTCTGGAGACTATAGACAATATATTACTCGTACCCTCCTTCCTTGCTTCCTTCCCTCCCTCCCTTCCTTCCTCTCACTAAACTGTCCCCATCTTCCCATCCCCCTCTTCCACTGACTCCCAGTCTTGTTGCATAGCTACCAGCTCAGAAAACATATTGGAGATGCAGGACAATCTGTCTGTCTCTTTTTCTCGTTCAGTCCAAATGTGGTTAATTGGAAAAGAAACACATCACTTTGTTTCCATTTTGTCAATCTAAATGGGGTGCAATTTAGGGTTTATGTTTATTGCATATGGTGAACAGCGTTTATTCAAAGTGCTGTGATCCTCCTCCTGTCTCCCTTTTTGAGAGGAGCTGAAAGGTTGGCATTACAACAACAAAGGAAGGATGGAATGTCAACAGACTTCAGAGAGAAACGGGTTGAGGGGAAAGCAGAGATGAGAACCTGTGTGGTGTTTCCATCTCCGGGATCTGAAGTTCAAAACCTGTCACCACACCACTGGTTGGGGGTCGGGTGTTGTGTAACACTTGTGGCACATGCATACCCTGAAATGCTCTGAAACTCTGAGTTACAAATGCAAATACATCATGTTTAACAGTGAATTAAAGTATTTCGAGTTCCTATGGTGTTACAACTCTCCTTCTTTTATTGCAGATTGAAAGAGGCGGTGGGTGTGGAGCTTCAAAAGGAACTGAGAGGATGTTTTGGCAAAGTGTTGGTGGTGCTGAGTGGAAGACTAGTGATTTTGTTGTGATGCTGATCAATGAACAACAAGTCCCAGTCTGCCTCTCAGCACAAGCAGAGCTCTTCAGTCCATGTCAGCTTCAAATCAGAATGTATTCATGTCTCAATGTTGGTATTGTTACTCAGTTTCCTGTTTATTCAACTTGAAAAAAAAAGAAATGATTGATTCATCCCTGCCTGCATGCCCCTATGTGACTGGACATTAATAAGCACCAACGTTACACAACAAACTGCTATCAAAAGCATTGTTTAAGCAGGGTGCAAATGAAACTGAATCATGTACAATAAAAATTGCTCAAACACCGAGGGGAACAACTTTCATGATGGCATACGCAATATATTTTTAACAGACTAAATAATATCCCAGTATTTAACTTCCTTTCCAATCTTTGATTCAACCGTTTTCCAATTATGCTACCCAAGTGTGCATTTAAATGTTTCATATTTAATCTGCATTGGATGTTATTTATAGATTTTATGTTGATCAAATAAAACTTGCTAATAAACCTTTTTCGTGTGTTCCTGAATTTGATCACATCAGCACCAACGTGATAACATTGAATAAACACATATGAGCCACACCGTGAGGAGGAGATCCCAAAAAAATACCCAAAGGAAAAAAGCACTCTGGTCTCTCCTGTTCTTGTGTCTCTACACACTATTCTCCTCTCAATTATTACTCCTCAGATGAGATGGCCTGCTGCCAGAAAGCTTTACCTATAACGCTATATGTGCAACACTTAGGGTTGAAATACAAGTGGACCATGCATAGGAAGGGTCCAAAGCCCTGTGGACCCCAGCAGTGGCCTCAGTCACTGTAATGGACAGTAGCATGCCTGTATAGCTTCAGCTTCTTCAGTGCATGGCCTCATGGCTTCAGCCAGGCCTTTTATGAGCTTTGTATTATATCATAACAGATCTGAGCAATTTAAATCTAAAGCCACTAAGAAGTAAGATATGTCCTGCTCTCTGCTCCAGTGCGGGGGAAAACTGATAATGTAACAAGAGGAGAAAATGTAACAAAGATGTGCAATTAAAATGCTTCAAATCAAGACGCTTCATCTTCACATCAGATTATACCAGTTGTGCTTCAATACATACAAAGAAGGAAAGGTGAGCAGAATTATTTCTGAGAAAAGGGGGATTTAAAAGCATTCGATGAAAATGGTGGAAAAAGCTTGAGGCTTCAGATATTTAAAAAAATGAAAACACACCACATATAATCTATCTGCCTCTCCCTCCCTCAGGATACCTGCATGAGTGACCTGACAAGATCCCATGTTTGTTACGCATGGCAGCAGAATGCTTACAACAGTAAGTCAGCCCCACCTCAAATGCAAAAAGCAACATTTATAATAAAAAGCACTATATTGTTACTTTAAATTTGACTCGATAATGCACTTTAATATTGTCTCAGCTGACCTGATACCAACATGTATTTGAATGATGAATCATCTTTATCTCACTGACAATAAATCATCTCACTGACAATAAATCATCTCACTGACAATAAACGTGAACAAATCAATTTAGTCTCTATCTTGTGTTAATAAGTGATAATGCTTACAGCCTCCTTCAATCAGAAAAGCGTGCATGCTTTTAATTAAATATGCATCGTGGCTGCACTCATTCACACTGCTCCCTGTAAGTCTCCAGATTGGAGGCATGCTGGTTTTTCATATATAAAAACCAGGGACTGGCTTGTGTTGCTAAGCAACACAAAAGAGTCAAGTGCATTTGTTTATTGGCCAATAAGAATGCAGACAAAGTTTCAAGGTTTCAGATGAAGGTCCTGTAATAATGCAACTCACAGAAAAAATAGAGCGGAGGATTCTCTAACCAAGCCTTCGTATACTGTATGTGTGTATAGATGTTCTGCATTCAGACGTCTCCTTCACAGAGCTCAAACAGCTCTCAGCGGTTTGCTAGAGAAATGAAAAGGTGATTCATTTATATTTGGTTTTCATCCCGGAACATAAACATGTTCATAATTTTCCTCTTGAAAGAGGCTCTATACATGACAAACTACAGAGGGAGTAAGCAGTGAATCTGATCATTGTATAATACACTCTGGCTTTGTTCTGGCCTATTGTTGTTCTCTTAATAAAGATATGAATCAAAGGAACAAAACGTGTCGCTGTCCAGCCTGTTGGGCCCCAAAACACTCCTGCCCCCCACAGGAAGTGGACAGCATCTCACAACCCAGCCACAACCAGCACACATGAAGTGCTTTGAATCCTGAATTAAAAATCAAAGCTTATACGACCTTGTCGGAAGAAATGGTTTCCTCTGTCAAAGACACTTGAGTTCATAATGATTGTGTCTGAGAAATGGCAGCAGTTGCCAAGAGCCCCAGGCAGATGGTTTCACAAAGAAGGGAAAGGCTATAAAAAGAGTCATGGATGTGTAAAAGGAAGTGCACAACAGGTGACACATTGCATCAGACACATTGTGGAGAGCACAGACCTTGTGTAATGCATGTACTCCCTCCTCGTTGTGATTACTATCTGGGCACACAGCCGGCGTGATGGTATGCCAACTGTCCCCCCCGCTGTCTGTACTGGCAGCCGTCAGCAGCACCCATGGCACCTCGGAGGGACTCTGGGGGAGGGAGAGCCGTCAGCATGTGGCTGCATGTGTTGTGAGGAGGAGCAGAATCAGGAAGGACATGTCTGCTGCATCAAAGCACGGCTGACATTTGATGAGCAGACACGGATCAAACCTGTTATCAGACATACGCTCCACCTCATGGCAGATTGTGCTTGGCATTAAATAATTACAAATATCTAAGCAGGGTTATCTCTTACCTCTTTCTGTTGATTGTAAATCATGTACAATACTCTAGGACAAATAATTGCTGATTACAGAAAATAGGGAAAAGCTATTTACAGCCACAAATAGAGGCATTTTGTATTACCTGAACTAGCCCACTACAAGAATGGCAACATTTATTGAAAGAAATATGTTGAATATCAGAATGAAAGTGAATGGTTTCTGTTCCTCTGATTTCATGGCCTTTTACTTTAGAATGCAAATGAGGAATCAGAATATATTAGGCTGTAAGACAAAGGCAGTTATCTTATCGTTAGGCTACTTCACTTTTTAAAGCACGACATCCATGAATGATTGTTTTTATTTAAGTTACACTTATTATTTAATATGTAGTTGCCAGTTTTCTTTGAATCATCTTATTTATTTTGTTGTTGAGCTAGATGAGGAAGACAGGTAACTCATTTTTACTAGGAGTACAATTTTGGAACCTAGTCAAAGCGCCTCTAGTAAGTCCTAATTTAGATGTTATTGAATTCTTACTCTTTATTTGTTTTTATTATGTATTTTTCAACATCTGGTCCTAACTTGTATTTGATTATTTTTTTGTTCCTTAATAGTTTTAATTCACACTTGGTATTATTTGTCAATTTTATTTAAATAATGTGTTTCTCCCTTGAGAAGTCAAGGAAAGATGTCTATCAGATAAAGTAATCATATAAAGAGAAGAATAATTTAGGTTACATAGTCATTACAGACATAGGGCGCACTTGTATAGTAACTATAATGCTCTTCACATTCCAAATGGGTCAATAGGCCAACATATCAGCAATATGTAAATACAAATAATACTGGAGAGAGATTTGTATTATGAATGAAATGTAGTTTACCATTACATAGGAGAAGCCCTTTAGGATAACCTCAGCCAGTACAATCATCTGATCAAATGTGTTTCCCGTTAAATGGATGTAGTGTTGTAAAACCATGGTGGATGTCCTTCACACACATTAGCTAAATCCACCCAAACACAGACAGCATTCATAACTAATGAGAAAATAATTTCCAAGCAGCTTTGTATAATGTTCATAAAAATGTGTATTATATTTACAGAACATAACATATTTAGGGTCACAATGAACAATATGTTGAGGCCTGAATATACCATATCACATCATTCATGTTTTTGGCAAATAATAAAAGACTTCAGTCCAAAAACCTAAACAATGTCGGTAGCCAATTTGAACTACAGAAATAATGTGTAGCACAAACACCTTTGAAACAACTTGACACCAACATTATTTTCATATATTATCCTAATGTAGAAAACTTGCAGTATACATGATGAAACGGAACAGGAATATGATACACAATTTATTTTGAATAATCTGTGTTTTCCAACCATGATGGTGAGACAGTCAAGTCTCATAATGGCCTAAACACTGAAATCATAGTTCACTGTGACTTCTATTTTCCTCAAACTGAGGCCTACCCAGTGACACATAAAGCACAGACGTTTTGCCCAAATGTGACCAGCAGCACAGCCGGATATTCCAGAAGACATAAATAGGACAGGCATATAAAAGTCAAATGAAATAGGAGTAAAACACAGAGGTAAGAAAGCTGAATCATTTTAGTTTACTTGTTCCTTACAAAAAGTATGATTTTGAAGTTTGAAAGTTGCACTAGCTGCATTTTATCTGCTGGGCTATACAACCGATCTCAAATCAGTTTTTATTTACATTGAAGAGGACCCATGAGTCATACATTAAGGTCAACATAAATTCTAACTGGAAGAAAAACCCAAAACCAAGGTGTCAGGTGATTTGATAGTAAGAGAAGACTCTGGAGGCTTAAAAAAGATCAAAAACGGAAATCTGTAACACTTCACAGGTAACGGCAGGTCGGTCAGAGACGAGCCAGTCAGTACTAGGTGGTCTTCACCAGATCGTAGACGTGGATGTGGACATCATCGTCATATTTGATGTAGTATACTGTGGGCTTAGCTGGGACCTGGTAGATAACTAAGCCCGTCCTCTTCAGACCGTTATCTGTGACGTATTCCACCTGCTTACCCACAAGGCTCTCTGGCTCCTCACCCGGCTTCCTGTCTGCTGGCAGCAGGTGTTTGTTCTCTGAGGAAGGGTAGCAGACAGACAGATAAGTCAGAGAAAGACAAAATAAGAACAATGCTGAAAGAGTAGGGCTCGATATTGCGAACACTAGTAGGCTGATTAAGCATTGGTATGGAATGAGTATGAAAAAAAAGTGTTCAATCACTTTCTTTCAGGTCGAATTAATGATTGGATAGACTGAATAAAGTCCACCAATAGCCACAGATACTTTTGTCAGTCCATTATGTCACTGATTGCTGTTGAGATGTAACAAGAATGTTGACAAATATAACAACAAATATTTCTGAAATGCATAACCCACCCTGCCTTTAAAGGGTACTGGTATTTGTACCATAATCACATTATTTTTACTGATATACAGCCGTTAGAAGCAGCAAGGGATTCCTTGTATGGTTTTAATGTAGCCAAATTAAAAATGAATCCCCAAAAGACTGCGAGATTAAGATGGTAAATGATCTACAATTTGAGGCTGAACCTTGTACCCAGTTTATTTATTTACCTCTCCTTGTCCTTGTAGATAACATGTGTCTTCATGATAAGACATGAGTAGCCATAACAGAACATTCCCTCATGGTATTGAATCAAGCAGAAACTCTGGACCAAATGTTGATAAAAAACAAGAAGGCGGAATAGAGAGTGTTTTGTAATGCTGACTATGTAAATGAGTCCTGTTCTCTTCCTCCCACCTTTTCAGGAGCATCTGAAATATAAAGCATTAGGCTCTCACACTGTACCTGACTCAGGCAGGACACGTAGATCTCCGTCCTTGTAGTCGTCCCACAGCTGGTACATGTACAGCACCGGGTCCTTCTCGTAGGTGATGTAGTACCAGTGGGTCATGACGGGGGCTCGGGACAGCACCATGCCTCGCCACTCGTTCTTCTCACCGCCCTCCTTCTCAAACAGATGCTCCACCGCCCGGCCCACCAGCTCCTCGGCCCCGGGAGGCACATTGATCTTATTGTTCACTGCAGGAGGAAAACCATTTGTTTATTTACTAATGTCACTTATGCTTGTGGAATTTGCACATTGTACTTTTAGTAATAGGATAACTAAACTAATCTTTCAAAAGCTGGCAAAGCGCTAATAACATTTCGAAAAAGCTACAGACAGACTATAAGTTTAGCTTAATATCAGCTTTCTATTGGCTCACTGAAGTATAGAAATATTTTCAATATAAGAGAACAAAAATGTTACGCTGATGCATCGGACAAGACAGATTATTTGCACTAAAAAATATCTAGTATCGTCTGGGCTGTGTCTGCACTGTCACTTATCATTTCAAGTGTCAACCTGTTACATTCTAAGACAAATTATTGTCTATTTGGCTCTTTTTTTATAACCCATTCATTCATACTTGGGCGCAAAATAAGTGATATGTTTCATGATGTATACAACAGCAGTAGTTTATTTAGAATAAACAAAAGAAGAGTTAACATTAGCACAATAGTCGTCACACTAGAAGAGAAAAAGTATAAACACACTACCCAAGATTGCAAATCAATCTTGCAGTTTCAAAGTAATCCTAGAGGTACTGAGAAACACACAGTAAATGACTGGGACCAAAGTAGTAACCAAAATAAAAAAGCAAAAAATACCACTTCTCTTTACTTCACCAGGAATGGAACTAACAAATGATTTCATTATCGATTATTAAGATTATACCAGTATTTTCTCGATTGGTCAATAAAATGTATAGAAATAAAAATAAAAATATGGGCATATTCTCTTTTTTGACTAATTGAATAACTGTTGCGTGTGATAGACATCGACACACTCACCAACTTTCTCTGCCAACACCTGCAGGTTGGTCACCCGGTTGTCTTTGAAGAGCTCGATGCCGTACACGCAGTCAAAGCCGTCATATTTGACCATGTAGAGGGAGGTATTCACAGTAAGGCGCTCCAGGACGGTTCCTTTCCACTTGGTCACGTTCCCCTTCTCCCTCCAGGAGTGCTGGATCCTTCGGCCTAGCAGGTTCTCTGGGTCTGGGCTCAGGGTCGCCGACGAACTCTCACTCAGCTCTCCACTGCTACGCTTCCTGTGAACATCGAAGGAATTAGGCTATATTTATATTAACATATAGGTTGAAAATCCTAAGTATAAGGAACCTTTGTGGGTACTTTTAAGCTTTGAGTTAGTCAATCAATATTTGTTATTTGAGTGAGGCCGTGTCCAAAAATCCAGGGTGCCAGATGAGTACTATTGTCCTAAACTGGGAAATGTTACATATGCACACACAAGTGTCAGGCTTAGGGGATCGGTGAGTTACAGCAACCAATTTCAGTGATCTTTTTATCATTATCGTTTGAATTAAGTCTCGCTTTAGTGCCTCTAAGGGTGCCATTACTTACACTGACATATGTAGCCTTTGTGCTGAGATGTTATTTGAGTTTGGCCTGTGAACCTGTAATGATGAATTTGCCCAACATCTGCAGGACATAGACTTCACGATGTGTTTGCAAAAATGGTGCAGAGAGATGAGTAGAAAGGCTTTATCTGAGTATACGTTGTGCTAATGAAGTACGACAGATGTTTGACAGATTTTACAGGCGATAAAAGCATAAGCCAAACCTACATAACATATCATAAACCAAATACATAAGCCTATGCCTGTATGAGTTATAGAGAAATCATAATAAAATCTAATTATGTATTAAAATAACAATGTACTCAATCCTAATTTTATGGAGCTTTTTGGAATGTTTTATCTAAGTTTCTATCCTTTTATATAATTACATCCAAGCTATATTATTAGCACAGACAATTGACTGTTGTTTTGTTGCTGCTGAATACATTCTTCCTGATACAATTTAAAGCATGCTCTAAAGGAGTGTAGCATACTGTTTTTGTATTAGTTTTTTTCTGGAAGACAATAAATGGACTGCAGTATTATTGTGCCACATTGGGTTTTTCATAATGGAAAAAAACGTATCCTTTAATCCTTATGCTGTCACACACATCAGGGTCAGAGGGGAGTCATGCTGTGTGATCCTACCTGGCCCGTTTTTTTGACATGTTTCCATAAATTCACACGACCCTGTGAAACAAAAGACAGTTCCGTTAGTGAATATCAGAGGACTTTTCCACTTAAATCTTAATTAAAAAATGTTTAAGAAATAGTTTTGAGCAGACTTTAGTTACCCTGCGCTCAGTGAACCACATTCAATGCAAATTAGTCAACAGATCCGCTTTACCGGATGTAAACAACATCCCAATGCTAATGCTAACTATTTTAGCTCAATGCTAATAAAGACTACAGGTATACATTTACACAGCAACACATATGGCACATTAATATGTAACTTCCTTACCGGGTCTAGCTAAATGTCAACGTGTCGAGTGTCCTCGGGAATGTGTAGCTACAGTGAGTCTAAAATAGGAAACAGCTAGGTAGCCGACGTTAAGGAAGCCTGCTAGTGTCTGTTCTTAATCTTTGTAATGAGTAGAACTCTGAGAATGTGGTATTTCTACACATAAGCTAGCTGAACAAAAGGAAATGCATCGCCATGTAAACGCTGATTCCGCACACTGGTTATAGCTTCTAGATTAACGGACACATTAAGCACTGATCGTTAGAAATTAACTGACATGTTTAATCCGAACGACCAGATCACAAGGCGCGAGCCGGCGGAATGAAGTGTTTGCCCTACCTGATCAATAATTTCACATGTGTTTGTCTTTGCAGAGCAGATTCCTCCACCTAACTAACGAACGCTAGATACTAGGAAACGACACCGACTACAAGTACCAGAAGGAACTTGCTGCTCGCAAAACACTCTGGGATTTGTAGTCAGTGTTATGTACTTCCTTTTAATTTGGATCATACTCTGGTGCCAACCTTTACACCACCCATTGTTTTATTTTTTATTTTATTTTTCCAATTTGATATTGAAATTATATGTTATTGTCCTCTCTTTTAAGGTTTTTAGGTTGTCGTGAAGCCAAGAAAGCCCAGACACTACATTTCCCAGCATTCACCGCATTCAAGACCACATTTTCCCTTCAATCATCGACTGCTGGGCATTTCTACGTAGCCTAAGTAATAATTACAGTCACAGCAGGCATTTCTAGAATAATTTAAGAGATTGTGAATGATATTAAAGATGACACCCAGAAAGACATATGATATTCATGTATTAATGATTTGTTTTTTTGTTTTTTTACGGCATAGGCTACATGTGTTTCTACCTAGACTGTATATATAAATAGACATAGACTAGCTAGGCTATTTTCTGTAATTCTACAGTTAATCCGTAGCCTACAAGATTTTGAAATGTTGATCGGTAGCTACATTCACAAAATAACGTTAATTTGTTTTTATTTGTAGGCCTATATTAAATACTATTTGAGAAAGTCATAGCTAACTTTACCCAACTATTCCTACATGATAATAAACACCTCAACAAATGATTTATAGGCCTATTTGGAAGTTATACTGAGGGAGAGGTGGACTTGTCTTGTAGCTGAAATGCTAATATCCTCCACAAGATGTCAGACTAAACACAAGATCCCCGCCACAGGCTCTTTCAACAGACCTCAGATGATGGACTGACCAGTGTGTGGAGTGAATGATGCAGTACCCTTGGGGGCCTGTCTGACAGCTTTTTCAGGGTGAAAGCTTTTGGTTTTATCTTGTACCAACTCACCTGTGTGTGTGTGTGTGTGTGTGTGTGTGTGTGTGTGTGTGTGTGTGTGTGTGTGTGTGTGTGTGTGTGTGTGTGTGTGTGTGTGTGTGTGTGTGTGTGTGTTTATGACTCACCTGTTTTGTTGGAGTGAATAGAAACACTGCATAAATCTTAACCTCCTTTAATCTTAAAGCAATCAGCACTTAGCGGCCATAAGCGGATTATTGTGTCACATTTGATTGTAGTTATATTTCTTTAAAAGACATGCTTTGTTTACCTGTCATTTATCTAACCGTGCCTATCATTCATTCATTTGTTCATGTCTCATTCTTAAATTTTAGTATAAAATCGTGGTACATGACTCATAACTACAAATTATATCTTGTGATGGTGTTTGCTGTTAATTCATATATTTGAGATCATTATGATTTTGCTGACAGAGTAACGTCTATGAGGACAATGCACTTCCCTCGGGTCTCTGGAAATTTGGATGTTTGTGGCGGAAGTTTTAAAGGCAGAATTAAGTATTTTTAGACTCATCTTATTTAAATTCTAAAACCTTTGACTAAAAAAGGAGATAAATTATGAATTGCCCCAAATATTATTCCTGGCTTTGTGAATGCTTTCCAACAACTTTAAGAGGTTCATGTTAAGGATTACAGTTTACATAAACAGAAGAGTTAGCAAATTAATAAATATGATAAATCAAAATAATTTGACTTTCTATCAGGTCCTCATTTCGTGATGGGGATGAGAGGGATGGTGGGGGGAGGAAGACCTTGGCTACCCGGTGATCATGGTGTACATCTGCCTTAAAAGATGGGTGAACCTCTGCAGAGAAAGACAGGTCAATGTATTTTGTTTCAGGTTAACCTGACCTACCCTTCTTGAACTTATTATCAATCAGCCACTCTGGGTCTTAACTCCATTGCAACAATTCAGAAACACTTAGCTTCAAACTAGATCTATCAATTAGATACTATTACCCAGCAAGATGCATTTGTACTCTTCCATTAGTATGCATGGTGGTCTGGGTGGTTGGTTGCAGTCGTGTTTTTCTGATTACAAATTTCACATTGAAACAGTTTGACCACAGATATGTCAGATTAGTTCAATACAGATAGAATATCTTGGAGGTGTGAGTCAGTGCTCTGTAAAGCTGACAGCCTTCGGGAGAAAGCTAGTGTTGTATTGACACAAAGCTGTCCGGCCTCCAAGGTTGCCTCTTCTTATCCTTGTTGTTGTCACAGCAACAGAAAAGGTCTGGATGTTGGAGAAATGGGCTGGCTTCTTCTCTTTTTGTAGTGGTCACATTTAGTCCCATGATGCTCTACAGCAGGCAATCAGTACATCGGTGGAGATCACTCAGTGTTCTGGGCAAAAGGAAGTATGGAGGGACACTGCAACCCAGCACATTCACAACATGGTTACACTTCTGGCACTTCAATGTGATGAATTATACCTGTCTTCAGTTGCTAGGCCACAGAAAATAAATCCTTATGTCTACTCATCTGTGACTGACATGTTCTGCTGCTTTCAGGTTTCTCCAGCGCTGCCATCTGAGGAGAGGAGCCCACAGCGGCCCACTCCCCTGGGACTCCTTGAGAATACCATCTCCAAAAATAGAGGTCTCCTTCTCTTCTTCCAACTGTTCCGCTCTTACATGTATCTGTCGCTCCATTCACATTACTGGTTCGGACACACTCACACACCATTGACACACACATGATTTGCACCCTGTTTTCTGAAATATTGTTGATATTTTTGTTGTCAAGTATTGCAAGGAGAATGTATAGAAAGTCAACCCAAGGTTAGTGTGTGTGTGTGTGTGTGTGTGTGTGTGTGTGTGTGTGTGTGTGTGTGTGTGTGTGTGTGTGTGTGTGTGTGCATATTGATTAGATATTTCTATTATTAGCAACATACAGTATATGCAGCCTGAACTATGGTAGCTATAAAGGGATGGCATATCATGTCTGTATCATGCATGTCTGGAGGTGAATTGAACTTGACTGTGACAAGTGTGTGCGTATGTGTGTGTGTATGTGTGGGACATATAAGAGCAGTGTTGCTGTTTTCAGCGTCGTTAATTATCAGGGTTTCTTTTTCTGTCTGGATCACAGCTCAACTTCCTCTCTGAAGAAGTATGTGGCAAAATAACACAATCGACAAAACCAAAATAAAGAGCAAAGACATGTATTGCGATTTGGATTATGAAGAATTGTTATTTTAAGTCACAGATAGAGAACACAGCACATGTGTGTACGATAGGCTGCTGGCTATTCCTGTGTTTTCTTTTATGGTAAAATGAAAGCTAATTCCCCTTTGGTGCTGAGATTATTTCACATGTTTAATCTTTGAAATTAGTTTCCAAACAGATCTATCTGTCTATCCCTGGAGAAATATGCAGAAGTGTGAAAATATAATTTTTAGACTTTTCACAAAGAGCTTCACACCTGCCTTTGGATTCTGATCGCTCTTTTGCTTAATATTCAGTTAAATAAATGTAAACCCAAGAGTCCACATTCAACACTTCTGGAGAGGGAATGAATCTCCTTTGGTTTCCACGTGTTAATTTCATCATATGATACATGTAATGATGAAGTGTTGTATCCTCAAGTTGACAGTTTGGGTCTCCCTGAGGTGTTTTGCTTTGATTTAACAAGTCCATAGCTAATGTGTGAACATGCAACCTACAAGATTAATTGGCCCTCGTACCTAAAAGGCAGTGGTTGGTGTTTTCACCTTGAACCGTCTTCTGATTAGACATAATGGGGATTTATCTGGTCCCAATGTCAGCTGGTTATGATCTCGTCAGCAGCTTTGGATTATCTGTAGGGAGTCAATATCTGTTCAACTTTGAATCAAGAGTTTGTCTATCTATGTATCTAGTATAGATTACTTCAACAACACTGTCTTCAATAAAAATGGCTGATGCCGCAAAGTAAAAAATAGTGCCACAGAAATGACCACATGATTAAAAACGGTCCTTTCTGTAGGTAGTTTTAGCATCTGCCACCCAGCACTTAACCATAACACTAAATGTTTCAATATAATTACATCCAGTGGGTGTGATAATAAGTAAATCATCTCATTAATTGGGTCCTAGGATCGTGTAGCTCTTGTTGTCATAGCTAATTGACCCCAAATATGAGGTGGAGTACATCTGCCTTCATTTATGCACAACTCTAATTAACACCACAGCACCAACCTGAAAGGGACACATTTGTGTGTGTGTGTGTGTGTGTGTGTGTGTGTGTGTGTGTGTGTGTGTGTGTGTGTGTGTGTGTGTGTGTGTGTGTGTGTGTGTGTGTGTGTGTGTGTGTGTGTGTGTGTGTGTGTGTGTGTGTGTGTGTGTGTGTTTATGACTCACCTGTTTTGTTGGAGTGAATAAAAACACTGCACAAATACTCTCAGTTCCATTGATGTATAAGTGTGACGGTTGATTCAGGTTGATGCCGCCACTGATTTTATTGTTCACTTTGGGGGCAATGCAAGCCATCAGTGAACATAACCTATATGGCGAATGTGTTAGCAAACAGTTGCTATTTGTAGAAGCAGGAGGTACAGAGCAACTTCTCTCATATATTCGGAGTTGTGCTTCTGGTGACCTGATGCAAGCAAGTCCAATATTATCTCTCCTCTTAAGTGTTTTTTCTTTAGTAATTAACTCCCAAGGGAAATATCTGGCTTGTTTGCTGATAAATGCTATGTTCCCCATGCATTGTTTGCCAGCAAACTTTGTTTGTCGCTGTGCAGGAAAGCTACAGTGGTGTTTTAGAGCTTTTTACCTGGAAACAGCTGCTCGCTAAAATTGATTTAATATTCCACTTACTTGCTGATTATATCCTAAAAGTCTTAAAAGTCTCCTATCATGCAAAATGCATTTTTTTTTACGTCTTTTATACATATATTTATGTATAAAAGACGTAAAAAAAAATGCATTTTGCATGAT